CAATTGTTCAAACTGGCGATTGCAGAAATGTTTGCCCCCGTCACTGATTATAGCCCTCGGTGTTTCAAAGCGGCTAAAAATGTATTTCTTTAAAAACTCAATTACCACCTTCCCATCGTTGGTAGGCAATGCAACGGCCTTAACCCACTTCGATATGTAATCCACAGCCACTAATATGTACTGATTAGAGAAGGATGGGGAAAATGGCCCCATGAAGTCGATCCCCAGACGTCGAATAGTTCCACCTCCAGGATACTATTCAAAGGTATTTCGTTTCTCCTGGATATATTACCGGTGCGTTGACATCGGTCACACTTCTTCACGAATTCAAAAGCATCCTTAAATAGTGTAGGCCAGTAAAAACCTGATTGAAGGATCTTCGCCGCTATTTTCGAAGCACCAAAATGCCCTGCATATGTAGATGAATGACAATGTTCTAATATTAAAGGCACTTCTTCCTCAGGTACGCAGCGACGAATGATTTGATCAGCCCCCCGCCTGTATAGAATGGGGTCCTCCCAAAAATAATACTTCAATTCAGCAAAAAATTTCTTCTTCTAGTGACTTGAGTAATTAGGTGGCATGATAGACCTGGCTAAGTAGTTAACTATGTCCGCATACCAGGGTGCCTCCTCTACACTAAAAATCTGTTCATTTGAGAAGACTTCGTTGATTTCCACCGTCTCTGTCTGTTCTGTGGTCTCGAGTCGAGACAAGTAATCTGCCACCACATTTTCACTGCCCTTCTTATCCCTAATTTCCAAGTCAAACTCTTGAAGCAACAATATCCAACGAATGAGACATGGCTTTGCATCCTTCTTTTCCATTAAGTACTTGATAGCAGCGTGATCTATGTAAACGATAACCTTTGACCCCATAAGGTATGATCAAAATTTGTCAAAGGTGTAGACTACGACAAGGAGCACTTTCTCTGTAGTGGCATAATTGAGTTGAGCGTCGTTCAAGGTCTTACTTGCATAGTAGATCACGTGAAATATCTTATTTTTTCATTGTCCCAATACTGCCCCACCAGCAAAATCACTAGCGTCGCACATTAATTCAAATGGCAAGTTCCAATCCAGTGTGATGATCACGGGTGCTGAAATCAACTTCTCTTTCAAGGTGTTAAAAGCTAGCAAACATTCATCCGTGAACTCAAATGTGGATTCCTTCATCAATAAACAGCATAGTGGTTGGGTAATTGATAAATGTGTTTTTGCACACTTATTTAGGTCACAAACATGACTTAATTACGAGCAAAATGATTGAATTGTGACTTAATTTTGTTACATTTGTGAATTGTAGGGAACACCGATGAACATAGTGAAATACATGAGAAAAGACGCGAAACAGGACTAAAATGACGCAAAGTGAAAGTTCAAGGACCAAGGTGCAATTACCCAAAA